CAGTAACCACTGGAGTTCAACCGAGTCTATTGTGAAATAGTAACTCACTGATGACAATGGTGGACGATGGTACTCAATTTTGTGGATTAGTTGAAGTTAGACATTAACACCATTGGATACCGGTTGGCTTAATGGTCTAGAGGATAAACACTCACGCGCGAGACCAATAGGTGTTGTGTTCGAATCTCGCTGAGTGGGATCGTGGATTTGCACTTCTTAAGAGTCCCATACTGGGACAAAACGGTCATCGAGTGCTTTCAGATTTCTCATGGTGGTCTAACTTCAATTGATTCATGAATTCATCTACTAAATTACTAAAAAAATTATAGATTTAATTAGTTTCCTAGTGAAAATCAATAAAGTAAGAGGATTAATCTTTTATCCTTAGTATTATCGATTTTACAATTATATTATCTCACTTCCTAAGTGTTATTATAATCGATATATAATCATATGCTTAGATTACAATATTTCTCTTGTATAATTCAATATTAGAAACCAAGTGTATTATGTCCTGATTAGTGTGATTTCAATCTATGGACAAAAAAAGAACAAAGAACACGTTTCAATTATATAGTCATTGACATGTGACTTACAAAATGCATGTAAAATAGATCGTTTTTATTTAAAAAAAGTTCTTTTAATATGGTCAATGTCATTTTCTGACACAAGGTATTAGGGAATGATGGTAATTTAGTTGATGAGGTTATGAATCTTCATCGACTGAGATGATTAGGCACATGTTACGTATGCTTGAACATTGATTACCACGACGTGCAATGCTGACAAATGTTGGAGATGGTTGGAAGAAAGTTAGAGGGGGCGGTCAAATTGGCCAAAATATGATATCAGTTCACAAAGTCACGAACTTCTAATCTAAACCATGTTGGTTAATGCAGACTACTTGGTCGGAGTGCGCGTGATGACTAGCGTGACCAATGGTTGTAGACTGTGTGTGACATGGTTCAGAATCGATCACAATGGTGTAGGTGCATACACTCTCTATCTTCCCTTAAATTAAGAGATTGAAATCGCTTCATACTTTCTTTCTACGAACGATTTTTTTCTTCCTGTACTATATCCTTATTACGAACTTTCTTTTATATATTACTATCATTGAAGTAACTACTATGAATTTGGTATTCATCTTACTGTGCTAATGAGGTTTAGCAACTTGGACCGATGCATATATGTGACTGATCCTACGTTGTAGTTGACTGACTGACATTTGCTAACGATTAAATAAAATTTTAAAGCTTTCCATAATTAATTAAAGTATACGGATCGATAAATGTGAAGGGTAATGCAAAAAGTCAATTTGGAATTTAAAATCTACATTACGTTTACTTTGAAGCCTGTTAATTAATTTTAAGGAAAAAATGCAAAAATATTTTGTGAAATGTGTGTAAAATCTCAGTCTCTGATTAGTTTATAGGGTTTGGTGAAGTCAACGTATCAGTCAGGAGTTGAAGAGGGAGAGTGATTATGAATACAGTGATCTCGAGTGGTGTTGGAAGTACGAGGGTGGTTAACACTTCCCGGTCGCTCACTCCCTGGAAGGGTTATTCTAGAGGTAGCTGAAAAGAAAATTGGGTTAGAGGTGGCCTTAGCGATCTGAGAGCGTGACCGCAGTGCTCAGAGCACTACTGTTTGAGGGCGGTCACACACGACCTTTTTGTGAGTAATTTTCGTGTTAACTCCGTAATTGTTGAGACATTACCGCCGGTGACAGATATCCGTCGGATAAGGTGAGGTGTGCATCTTTAGAGTCGACCTTTTCTAACCCCGCTCTTTCTCGTGGGATGGCAGCATCGCTGTTATACTGGTCGTCTGAAGGAAACACCTTACTGCTGTCACACCTCTGTACAGTCAGCAGTACAACTTCGCCTTCGGCGCTTGGGTTTGCTGCTTTTATTCTTAGCGTTTTTCAACCTACCTGCCTGGTATAGTAGGATCTTGAGGGACGATTGTTCCAGCCGTTATAGCTCGACCGGTTCATTACTATAAGCAAGCCCGACCGCCACGTCAGAGTAGCAGAAACGGTCGGTAAATCAATGTGTACCAGCATTTGTTTGATGACTATTAGTTGGATAAAGCATGAATGATCATTTGACAAGATTTGTAAGTTATAAGTTAAATAATGTACACCTGAATAGCTAAAGAAGTGTTCAACACCTTATGGAAGCTACATGGATTCAAATAGAAAGATGAAAGTATTGTACTATAAAAGTATTGATATGATTTTCTGAAATCCAAAAGACATTAACACATTCAGTCAATAGTGTAAGCAAAATTATCAACATCATGGTACAATTTGCTAATGTTAGCTGGTTGAATAAAATTAATAGAAAGGTTTCAATTTAAAGGTTTCTCTCTAGCTTGTGGTATTCAGTAAACTGTACCTACAAAATCTGCTTAATCAATGCCATCAGTACGATTAAAACCAGCTTCAACCATTATTTCTATCATAATCACTAATAATGAACTATTCCGAGTTTGACTGATCCTGTGTAGCACTGGGATATTCACAGAAATTAATCTCTGTGTAATCGATCTTGTATTTCCTGGTCCTTATTTCAGCGCAAGCTCAATATCTCAAGTTTTAATATGGTTATTGGTCTTAATGGTTTTATATTATTGTGTAGATATTAAGTTATTCGGCTTAGGAGCAATAAGGACTCTGAGTGACAAGTTTAGATCTCACGAGTGACAGATATAATTTTCTGTAAAATTCCATCTATCATGAAATTTTGGTTCAGAGTCTCTTAATAATCACACTACTATAATCAAGTAAGTCATTCAAACAAGTTACTCTATCGAGATCGAGAAAACATTCACTTTGTATTGTTTCTTTGAATCTTCCCATTGATATTTAAGACTGCAATTGATCAGTCTGTTATTAGCGTATATGTATACTGTGCGGACTGCCTCGATATTTTCTTAATTCACAAACATTATAAGTAAAGATGAATAGTGGCTAACAGTAGAATCCAGGACGTGCATTTTGTCCTATTTAAGACTCGTTAGATGGATATACCTACATCTCAGAGTTGAAGAGCACTCCACAACTCGAACTCAAGACCATTCACTTCAAATGTCATCGCGTTATTCACTTAGCTACTGACTCCCGATATAGCCATCTGCTTATGCAATCATATGAAGTTTATATTCACTTGGTATTGTTTTCTTAAATCCTAAACTGTATCATTTGAAATAATCAACTAGCAACTAACACTACAAGTATGTTTATGAATAGAAAAAAAGCAACGAAAAAAAGAATTCAAAACTGATCTACAAACCTAGTAACGGAATAAGTAAACAAATAAAAGAAAGAAAGAAAGAAACACAATCGATTACGTAATCTTTCTTTTATTCTACAATAAAGTACTCTCTTTACAAGTGTCATGTTTTGTTTTGTTATCTTTGAGTCACGTTTTTGGTTGCTTACTTAAATTTGATTGTAGTGGGAAGATTGTTTTCTTTTTTTTAAAAAAAACGGTATAAAAGTAGTTGTCAAGATGGGAATTAGAAATGATGTAATAATTATAATAAATGGGAATTGGTAGATCATGACAATGATGATGAATTTTGTTTTTTTTTATTATTTAAAAAAAAACAACAACAAAACAATGTAATTGGTATATAAAGTAGACGATAAGATAAATGATGTGCGTGCGTGCGTGTGTGTATGAGTGTATGTGTTTCTTTTATTGATTGATTGATTGATTGATTAATTGATGGATGGATACAAAAGGTTCGAACAAACGGTAAAAAAGAAAGAAAAAGAAGAAAAGGTCACCAATATGCGATGAAATCAATTGTTATTTGGAATTTGAAAATGTATGTCTTGTTTTGAATGATGCACACAAAAAAGACGAATTCAAGCCGAAATTTGGTTGAAAGAATCAAAACAAAAATACGATTTTTGTCTACTGTCGAATGTTCCTACTACAGGCACACATAAATCTATCTATCTATCTATCTATCTATCTATCTATCTATCTATCTATCTAACTATCTATCTATCTATCTATCTATCTATCTATCTATCTATCTATCTATCTATCTATCTATCTATCTATCTATCTATCTATCTATCTATCTATCTATCTATCTATCTATCTATCTATCTATCTATCTATCTATCTATCTATCTATCTATCTATCTATCTATCTATCTATCTATCTATCTATCTATCTATCTATCTATCTATCTATCTATCTATCTATCTATCTATCTATCTATCTATCTATCTATCTATCTATCTATCTATCTATCTATCTATCTATCTATCTATCTATCTATCTATCTATCTATCTATCTATCTATCTATCTATCTATCTATCTATCTATCTATCTATCTATCTATCTATCTATCTATCTATCTATCTATCTATCTATCTATCTATCTATCTATCTATCTATCTATCTATCTATCTATCTATCTATCTATCTATCTATCTATCTATCTATCTATCTATCTATCTACTAATCTATCTATCTATCTATCTATCTATCTATCTATCTATCTATCTATCTATCTATCTATCTATCTATCTATCTATCTATCTATCTATCTATCTATCTATCTATCTATCTATCTATCTATCTATCTATCTATCTATCTATCTATCTATCTATCTATCTATCTATCTATCTATCTATCTATCTATCTATCTATCTATCTATCTATCTATCTATCTATCTATCTATCTATCTATCTATCTATCTATCTATCTATCTATCTATCTATCTATCTATCTATCTATCTATCTATCTATCTATCTATCTATCTATCTATCTATCTATCTATCTATCTATCTATCTATCTATCTATCTATCTATCTATCTATCTATCTATCTATCTATCTATCTATCTATCTATCTATCTATCTATCTATCTATCTATCTATCTATCTATCTATCTATCTATCTATCTATCTATCTATCTATCTATCTATCTATCTATCTATCTATCTATCTATCTATCTATCTATCTATCTATCTATCTATCTATCTATCTATCTATCTATCTATCTATCTATCTATCCACACATCAATCTATCTATCTACTATTGATGTTTGTTGTCAGTACATTATCTAAATATAGGTAAAAACAAACAAAACAAAAAAGAACTTGTATTCAACCTGAAATGATGTGTATATTTATTTAATTCTGTTTAATGAATACAAGAATACAATAGAACAAATAGATTGTTATGCATACATATTTTAATTATTTTATCTTATACAATTCTAATGAACTATGTGCATAGTAATTAAATAAATAAATAACTAACCGAAATGTCACTCAATTACAAGTTAGAAGATGTAAACAAACATGTTGTGCAATGAAAGATATGTACGTTTATTGTATACACATGTATATTGAAATAAAGATTCATGATTCAATTGAATGAGTATGATAAAGTTTCTTTTTTGTTTTTTGAACTGACTAGATGAGTTGTGAAACTTTCATTTATTCTCTTCTGATTAAATATCATCAGAAGGGTACAAATTTCTTTTATATATATAACTTATAGCTTTTCTTCGGGATGTCAATGTGTTTTGATGATGATATCGTTCAGAAGAAGCGTCACAACTCAATTATCTAGTTTAAAGAATAAAACTTCATCAAAATACACACCCACACACACACACACATATCGTTTCTTTTCTTTTCTTTTTTGTTGTTGTTGTTGTTTTTCTTTTTCTTTTTCTTTTGTTTTTTTAACTTTTTTTTTTAATTTAAATTAAATTTTGTTCATTTTTTTTTATTGTAAAATGTTTTCTAAAAAATTTCATAACATTATTAGCTGGTGTTTTTAATACTGTAATAGAATTTTTATGTTTTGGTGAATGATTTGATCCTTTTCTTTGTAATATTACCATACGATCTAATCGTTCACGTTCTTTTTGTACATTTTTTTGTTGTTCTTTAATAGAAATTAATATACCAACTAATAAATCATCAACACGATGATTAATTGATGTAGATATTTCATAATAATTACATGAATAGATTTGAGCTAAATTCTTTCCATCTATATTTCAATGAAAAGAATTACATAAGAACATTGATAGGTAATTGAAATATTATAATATATATAATTACATTTTAATGAATAGTTATTACACAGGTTGAAATCATGAGTCAGTTGAAGCTAGACCATTATGGAAATCCTGGAAGCACTGGATGACCGTTTCGTCTTAGTATTGGACTCCTCAGCACTGAGCATCCACGATCCTGCACCTCGCGAGATTCGGATCCAGGATCTACTGGTTTCAAGCGCGAGCACTTAACCACTAGACCACTGAACCGGCATCCAACGGTGTTAATGTCTGACTTCAACCAATCCACGAAGTTGCGCCACCGTATACCATTGTATTCAGTGAGTTGATATCTCACAACAGACCCGGTTGAACTCCACTAGTAACGGCTTCTCACTAGAACTCCAGGAGTATCTCCTGAAGTCTAGCTTCAATGGACTCATGATTTCAACCTGTGAAATTTTTAAAAATCTCCACAAAACCCATTCTGAGAATAGTTATTACATTGTATTATGCAACACCGATTACCACGACATGCAATGCTAACCGGTGTTGGGGATGGTTGGAAGAAAGTTAGAGACGGTGGTCAAAGCGGTCAAAACGTGACATCAGTTCACAAACTCACGAACTTCTAGTCTGAACCATGTTAGTTAATGCAGACTACTTGGTTGGGGTCCGCGTGACTATCGTGATCAATGGTTGGAAACTCTGTGTGAAATAGCTCAAAATCTATCACAATGGCGTCGGTGTATACATACTCTTTCTTCCCTTAAACCATGAGAATAAAAAACTTCATATCTTTCTTTCAATGAACTAATTCTTTCTTCCTGTACTATATCCTTATATGTATTCTTTCTTTGATGTATTACTACCATTGAAGTAACTACTATGAATTTGATGTTCATCTTGCTGTGCTAATGAAGTTTGGCAACTTTGACCAATGTATATATGTGACTGATCCTACGTTGTAGTTGACTGCCTGACATTGTATTATGATACTATTCAATGGTAAGTTATTGATCAAAGTAATATGCAAAAATTAAGAAACTGTGATTTATCATTTACTGTGTCTAATTCAGACAAGTATTAGTAGCTCTTGAAGATTTTAAATGACTCTTAAACTGATATCAACTTAATAAATCATACGGAATATTGTAATATATAACATAATATCGTTGATAAAACCCGACTTTATTGATTATACTTCGAATCCATTGGTTAGACAAAATCAGAAACAGCCTACTATAGGAGATAACAAACCACAATCCAGTGGAGGAAGAAATCAGGAAGAAGCTCTGAAAGTGGATAGAACACACATTGAGGAAAGCATCAAAGTGCGTCATAAGGTAAGCTCTCACATGGAATCCTCAAGGCCAAAGGAGAAGAGGAAGATCAAAGAACAACTCATGTATAAAAATGGAGACAGACATGAGAAGAATGAGCATGTATGGAACTAGAAACGAATGCCCAGGACAGAATGAGTTGTAGAATGCTGGTTGATGGCTTATACTCCATTGGGAGTAACAGACGTAAGTATGCAAGTTACTGATTATCCAACTTTGCATAATAGAAAATAATTGTGATAATGTGATGAAAGCGACTGTTTATTCAATAAATTTTCTTGAAATGCAACTAGTTACACAGTTCAATTCATACTTTGCATAACTTGAGATAAATAACTGTAAATTCCATTATTTCATTAATAAACATGCATATTATATTGATGTCTTTAATATATAGCAATACTCCTACGGTTAATATTGATTATGGTTAACTTTTGTCCAACCCTTTTACTAACTTGTTCAACAGACAATGTTATTTGGATAGTAACAATTTGTCTATTTCTATGCATGTTTATGATTACTATCTTGTCTGTATAAACTTGTACACCTGATCACATGTGATAGCCTACGCATATATTCCTCATTCTACCTCAAATACTAAACGATTAAATATCGCTCAATGAATCATTCTCTTTCCCCATATACATATATATACTTGAATCCTATTAATAGCCTTTGCTGTGCCTAGTTGCGACTTGATTCGATTATTCCGTAAGTATCAAGTCAATATCTATTCCATCATACATTTCATGACTGCTTATTTTTGTAGATTTTATGATCTACATAAACTTTTGTATTCCTGCATTTATTAGATTTAACTCTGATCATGTTAGTGATAAATCTTATTAAGATGAAACGAAAAATTTGATCAGTATCGATATATCTATGGGTTGCAGACTCATCCTAATTCTATACTTCTACAAATTCATTTGAAATTAAGATTAACATTGATCTGATCAATGTCATGCATGTCAAGTTCTTCTTAGTGCAGATCGAATCCTAACGACTAAGTCACAATGTGACCACCACACTAGGTGACTCAACATTTCGTGCATTATGTTGAGATAAGATGGTAGTTGGAGGTATTTAACAGGAAACCCTGAACCTAGGTTTCATGCTACTTGGTACTCATCAGCAAATTGTACCTGAAATCTTAAAGGAACTGATGCTCCCTGACAGTTTCGATTCCATGTCACCCATCTTCACAATCAGAGACGTTACCATGGCCCAAATAGCTCAGTCGTATAATGTCTATCTTCAACTAATCCATGAAATTGAGCGACACATCTACCATTGTCTTCAATGAGTTACTATCTCATAATAGACTCTATTGAATTCCACTGGTCACGGTTTCTCACTAGAACTCCAAGAAATACCTCTTGGAAATCGTCACTAGTGAGCATATGATGAATAAAGTAAAAAAAACAAAAGAACTTATGAATAATCTAGAATCTTGGAAAAAAATGTCGGGGGTTGGTGGTGAGAGAGAGCGAGAGAGAGAGAGGAAGACAAAGTACGGATGTATCAGCGTCACTACAAAAACACTTTCAAACCATATCTTACAAGTTAGTGATTGTGACATACACATATTAATTTCATGTCTATCACATGATTAACACAATGAACTATTGATAGAACAATAAATAGGGAAGGATAAATGGGAGGAATATCTATGTATATACATATACATATATATACATCTATGTTGCCAATAACTTGATTGAATACATAAATAAATAATGAAATGTTTTCTTGTTTGTTTGTTTTTTTTTCGTTGTTTTTTTTCTCTCTCTCTTTTAAAAGCAACAATCAGATAAAGAGAACTAAAAAGAAACAAAACTGATGAATAATTCATTAACATAACAAATGAATTAATTCAATTAGTTCAGTTTATTGTTGTACATCGATATACATCAGTGTTTTGATGGTTAATAGTAATGAATCCATGTCATTTCATTTTTTTATTCTTATTCTTAATAAAAAGAGAATGAAAATTCGTAGAATGATGTTCCGTGAATTGGTTAAACTTATACATGAATAATGATTGGATGTCAGTCGGCTCAATAATCAAGAGGTTAAATGATCGCGCGCAATACTGATAAGTGCTGGGTTCGAATCTTATGGGATAGGATTGTAGATGCATACTGTTGAGGAGTTCTACAATAGGACGAAATGACCGTCTAGTGCTTTCAGGTTTTTCATCGTGATCTAACTTAAATTGACTCATGAATTCAACTATTAAAAATGGTTTTATTGATTGATTCAAGTGTTCAAATTCGTTTCAATTATTGATAAACTGAATCCAATTTTTTTGATTGAGATCATGAACTGATAGATGTTAGACCACCATTGTAAACCTAGAAGCACTGAATGGCCGTTTCGTCCAAGTGTGAGACTCCACGATCCCTAGGCTTTCGGTCTCGCGCGCGAACTTTGAACCTTTAGACGGATTTGACTTCTGTTGCAAAAAACTTTTGTAAACTGACGTAAAAAATGAACGAAGTTTTCAAATAACTTCTTTGTTCCAGTATAAGATATTTTTTTATGCTAACGATGTATGACATCTCTTTGAGAGTATAATTATAAATTTTAGAACTTTTAAAGAGTATGTTATTCAAAGACTATCAAGTTGATGTTTATTAGAAAGATGTTTCAAATTTAGCAGTCTAAATAAATTAAAATCTTCCAAGAACTATTCATGAGGATAGTTATGTTTCGATTTCCTAGAGATTTAGTTAAAACACTTTATCTGTGGAAGTAAGGAATATATCGATCAACAGTTTCCAAAGTCATTGTCCTTTTCAAGAAATATTAAGTCTTCATAAGCTAATTATGTGAACTGTTGTCATTTGTTGTCTCTCAAGATGAGCAGAGAATAGGAACAAAACTTTTATCTCGGAAAAACATTTGATAAAACGCCAAATAGAGGTAATTTGCATAGGATTATCATATACCAACAGAGATTATTCGACATTCAGCCAACAATATCGAAGTTGATATAGTGCAAACACTTTCAAATCATGATATAAGCACCAAACCTGTAGAAAAAGCTGACAGCAATCTGAACTCAATGGCTCAGTGAATAACTTATTGGTGTCCGAAATGATAGATACTAAATTAACATTAAAATGCTAATACATTCAGCAATTCAATCAGAAATAAGGTTGAACCTGTATCCTTGATATCACTGCTGATCACAATCCATCTATTTTCCAAAAGCATCTGATTTACATCGAATATATAGTATACTTCAACAAAAAAGATTTTAGTAACTTCATCTTGGTATTATGAAAGGTTTACGTAAAGAGAGCACAAGTTATCAGTATGGGGGTTTGTGGAGATTGTAGTATTTTCACAATTAAATTCACGAGTCGATCTAAGCTGGACCATCATTGTAAACGTGAAAGCACTTGACAGTTGTTTCGCCCTTCAGATGTGCGCATCCAATCCATATCGGGTGTGAGACAGATATCCACCTCAGACAATAGATAAATTGTTGCGTGTGATAATGAATCGATTGAAGTTAAATATTAACACCGTTAGGTGCCGGTTCACTTGTATACAGGTTGAGATCGAGAGTTCTGAATTCGAGTTTCGTACACTGGATAATGGGTGCGCAACACTCAAGAGTCCCATTCTAGAATAAAACGGCCTTCGAGTGCTTCTATGTTCTCAATGATGTTTTATCTCAGATCGACTCATGAGTTCAACTGTGAGAAAATAAATTGTAAATAATTTAATTTACCTTCACTAGATACTACTCGTGTTCTCACTAAATCAGATTTATTGGCTGCAAGTATTATAGCACTGGAACGTTTACATTGACTTAACAATAAACCGATTATTTTTCTTGCTGTATAAAATGAACCACGATCATCAACTGCGTATATAACAAGATAAGCATCGGCTGTATCAACAATCTATTTAGTTGAAAAAATAAATGAAAAGAAACATTTGATACAATCATTAGAATAAAGCAAAATGTTAATTAGTGCATTATAAGCTAAAGTATTAACTCATAAGTATGATACAGTATGATAGGAAATGATAATATATCCCGGGATTATATATGTACTTTAGGTACATTTCACTTTAAAACAGAGTTATATAACGGTTAACAGTGGAATATAGGACGCAGGTTTTGTCCTATTTGAGAGCCGATAGATGGATACATCAACATTGCCAGTGGGCTTTAAATGTATACAGTTGACAATTCACAAATAGGATTAAGCGTACATCATGAATTCAATTGATATCAATTATCCTTCGCTATATGAAATACTTGTAACGTGGTGGGAATGACGAAGAAATCTGCAAAACAATTAGTATGAGAATGGGTTTTGTTGAGATTGTAGTAATTTCAATAGTTGAGATCATGATTCAATTGAAGCTAGATCACTATGGAAAGTCTGGAAGCACTGGATGGTCATTTCGTCCTATTGTGGGACTCTTCAACAGTGCGCATCAACAATCCCGCCTTGCGAGATTAGAACCCATCACCTATCAGTCTTGCGTGCAACCACTTAACCACTAGACCACTCTCTGTGTTCTCCCAAATTCTAATCTTCTGAATTCTTCATGTCTCTTCTTTCCTCTTTCCAAATTTATTTCACTGGATTATACTCTTTAAATAACATCTCCAAACCCTAATCTTCCCGATTACTGCTTATACTCTTATTACCTCTACCACTACGGGATTTGAATCGACAACTGCATCTCTGTGCTAATGTGGTGTGGCAACTCGAACTGATGTACGTACGTACGAAGTTCTACGTTGTTACTGACTGACTGACTGACTAGACCACTGAGCCAGCATCCAACGATATTAACAATTGTGTTATACAATTGTCAAAAGAATGTGATCAATTACTGTATTTAACATCAACATCTAGAACAAAATGACCCTATAAAAGAATCGAAAATGAGGTTTAATCGAAATGTATTGCCAACTATTTAAGCTTCCCAGTATAAGTAACGAAATTAATGTTTTGTATTATCGTTAGGAAGAATAATTTCAAAAGTCAATTAAAAGCAATCTAATATAACATTGAACTATCTATACACGAACCAATCAGATTTAGGATCACAGATCCCCGATTTTGACTCGAAATTCACTCACCCATTTGGCCAAATAGTATCTTGGCATTTTAGCTGATCTGTGATCGTGATGAAAAATTATACATTTAATTCCTAATCCTAACTATCAACTATGAATCATAATCCTTATTCTTTAAACTACTTTATCACCTACATTTAGTTAGTTCTAGTAACTAGGTAGACACTGTGAAAGTAACTTTGGCGTCGACCAAAGATCATTCATAAATTATAATGAACTAAATAAAAAACATGTAACCAATTAGTTATTTCATTTTCAGATTTGTAATTTTGATAAAAATCTGATCATTTCATCTTATCAATTACCATCTGGATAGTAATCTATAGATAAGATAGAAAAAAAATTACAATGTATATAACAATGAATGAAATTGTAGGTCTATAAAAATGATTAATCACTAAGAAAAACGGGTGGGTATATTCAACGTTCACAACTTTTCATCAATATCTGTGATAACAGTTAGTATTACTTCGTCTACACGAATGGGACATTAATTTACCTTAGACGAATATCTACATTAGACTCCTTCTCCCAGTGTCTATTCTACAGGACTTCAACATAACTCAGATGATCAAGAATACATCATTATTCTCGTCCACATATCAAACTCTATAAGGAGTATAAAAAAACTGACTTTCAGTCCTTGTAGCAATCATGATACATTGGGTCGACCAAGTTAATATATAGAATGAGATAAATCGTTCATCGTTTGTTCTATACCCAATATGATTAAACAAAAGTTTTCATGGATTCGTATTGTAGTGAACGAGAATACACAAGTAAGGACTAATCGAATGTATTTGAATGCGAAATTACAGAATCTTTTAGCAAAATCTGTGTACCATACAGTAAATTCGTCATTTGCAAAATGTCAAACATTTGTCTCAGACTTCATTGTTCTCGTTCTCTTGTCTTTGATCTTCGTAAACTTTTGCCTACAAGCATTTCACTTTCGATTGATGGTACATACTACTTATATCTGTCGACATCAGTAATACATACCACAATACTAGTAAGAAATAATTCAAAATTTCTTATTTCAACTCATAATAGAATTGTGGATGCATACTTTTGACGAGTCCTATCAAAGAGTGTATCATATTTTCATTACAGTATACTATTCATTCATTATCTTAAGTTATTTCATGTTATGAACAATAAATCTAACAAACTCTACAGAAGCATTTCTAATACTAAATTTAATTTTTGTTATATCCCAAGTGAATAGGAGCGAAAAATGGCATTTCAGACGTTTCGTGACTTAATATAATCCACTTCTTCAGAGTATATAAAATACATCAAAAGATTGATCAAAACAAAATGAATATTTTATTCAGCTGTTCAAACTCATGTATAAATGTAACAAATTTTCAAGTTAATTTTTCACAACAAAAACAACAACAAAAGGAAAAACAAAAGGCTTTTTAAGCAAAAATGGATAGTAGCTAGCACTGGAATCTAAGAAGCGCGTTTCATCCTATTTGCAACTCGTCAGCTGGATGTACTTGCATCTTAGAGTTGATGATCACTACGCGATTCGAACCCATTACCGTTCGCTTCAAACGCCATCACATTATCCATTTACTTACTGAGTCCTGATAGCCACTTGTTTGTATAATGGGGTGGAGTTTGAATTCACTCACGAAACGCGCGTCCTGGATTCTACTGCTTAAAAAGCTTATGACTTCAGGCAGTATCGAGGCAGTCCGCACAGGATTTTTATATACCAACAAGAGACTCATCAATTACGGTGCTAAATAACAATGGGAAGATAGAAGTTATATCAGAAGGGGCTTTTGTGGATATAATAATAATTTTTTATGGTTGAGATCATGAGTCAATTAAACCTAGACCACCATGGAAAACCTGGAAGCACTGGATGTCTGTTTCGTCCTATTGTGGGACCCCTCCTCAGTGCACATCCACGATCCCGCCTCGCGAGACTCGAACCCAGGACCTATCGGTCTCGCGTGCAAGTGCTTAACCACTAGACCACTGAGTCTATCGGCATCCAACGATGTTAATATCTAACTTCAACGAATCCACGAAATGAAGCGACACACAAGTAAATCAACGCCAATTCAATGTAAAAACAATAAACTCTACAAAATAATAATTCGTACCATCATGTGAATGTTTTAATCAGTTTAACTTTTCTTAAATTAAAAAAAAGAATAGACAAATATTTATACTACTTAACTTCTTTTTTTCTAGTTTAATTTAGTAATATTCTTGTCTATTTTTCGTAACCATAACACTATAGTAACTATGTCACAACATTGTTATCATAAATGGATCAGCTTGTTTATATTGAATACATATTTTCTAGGGAACTAAATTATTGCCTGTTTGACATAGCCTTGTAATGATTAACTGAATGGGTGGTATAACTACCTAATTACATGCATACATACATACACACAAACATACTACATACATACATAAACATGTATATCAAAGGAGAATAAGTCAGTAATTTCGACTACGGAACAATGACATGATTTGTTGAGATTATTTATGAATAGGTAAAGAAACAGGAAAACACAAGCTGATCAGCTGATAATATTGACGGAAAATTCAACATAATTATGCATTTATTTTGTTTTGAAATACTAAATAAACATGTAATAATTATCAGTATAGGGTTGTGGAGATTGTTGAGTTAGACTATCATTGAAAACCTGGAAGCACTGGATAGGTGTCTAATCCTAGAATGAAACTTTTCAATAGTGCGCATCCACGATCCCGCACTTAGGACTTGAATGCAGGATTTTCAGTCTCGCATGTGAATACTTGGAATCTAGACTACTGAGCCGGGATCCAATGGTGTTAATGTCTAAATTCATTAATAATTACAATGTAGAGTCACCATTTTGGAAGTTTGATATCAATAAATAATGTGTATTTCGATGAAGCAAAAATACAAAGCGCGTTAGTTTTGCGAAACGAATATTTCAAACATTTAAACATAGTTTATATTATGAACAGAAGTTTGTCAGATAATCAGTGGAAACTTATGATCGTACTGGAAATAAGAAAAAGACCTTCTACTTTATGTTGTGAATGGGTTTCTTTGAAAGCACTATGTTAAAATCTAGTAGTTTTCATCTCAAACTGTAATCCATTTACAATGTAACGTGATAATCATACATGGCTATAGATATTTGTTACAATCTGGCGCCTAAACATAATCTTTAGATGGTGGTTTGAGGTAGTCGATAGGAAACCCTAGATCCGGGTTTCGTGTTACTTGGCACTCGTCAGCAAGGTGTACCTGTAATCTTAAGAAAGCTAGTGCTCCCTGACGGATTCAACCCCGTGTCGTTCATCTTCACAGTCAGAGATGTTACCACTGAGCTATCCGGGCCGCGGGTGGTGGCCACATTGCAGCTTGGTCAAAAACATTCGATTCACATTAATAAGGACTTGACACACATGACATTGATCACCACCCAGTGATCAATCAATTGTGAAACCTAATCTTTCACAAAGCCTATTACTTATGAGTTAATTATTATTGTTAAAGTAGGATTTTTGTCGAAAATTTCCACGATATGATGAATGAATTGTCCAACCCTCCATGCTTTTCAGTTGTTGATCAGTAAAAGTCAGTCTGTGATAAGAATCTATTTGAGTAATAAGAACGGTGTATTACTAATTATCAAAATGGGATCAAATGTATAGTGTTTAACATATTCTCAGTATTACACAAGCCGATCGTAACTAAATAATAAAGGAGATTCTACTATAATACTAAAAATAATCTTTTTTTTTAATGTAAGGAATTTTTAGATTCAATTCGTTTTCGCATTGCTTGTTCGAATCTTCCTATTGATGTTAAGGACTGAAACTGATCAGTCACTTATTGGCATATACGCGTCCTGTTCGGATTACCTCAATATTGCCTTAAGTCACAAGCATTATAAATAGAGATGAATGGTGGATAACAGTGAAATGCAAGATACACATCTCATCTGATTTGGAACTGGTCAGCTAGATATACCCACATCCCAAAGTTGAAGTTCAATGCAGGACTCGAAACCAGCAGGTACATCGAGCTGACGAGTCCTGAATAGGACAAAACGCGTAGTCTAGATTCCATTGTTAGTCACTATCCATTTCTACTTATAATTTGTAGATTATTCAACAGCACTGAAGCATACACATAACTTCTAATAATGTAATATTCAACAAAGTTTCATATTTAACTAATCAAACGGCGAGACTATAATTTATGGATGAACCAATCACGTATAAGATAACAAGTCTCAGGTTTTGGCGCGAATTTCACTCATCCATTTGACCAAATAGTGTTTTGGCATTATAGCTGGTGTTAGTTCGTGATGAAAACATTACGTCTCTTTCCTAACCTTAACCATTAACTGTAAATTATAATTCCGATTCCTCATACTGATTTATAACCTTCATTCGGTTCTGGTTATTAAGTGGACACTCTCAAGTTCAGTCTAGCGTCGCTCTAAGGTCGTCCACAAATTATAGTCTCACCATATTTTTTTTAAATGAAACTGTAAAATAGAAAACATCATATTTTATCTAAATGACATTTATCCCATCTGTTCGAAAATTCAAATCTTGGCGTAGGTTTTAAATAATGCGAAAATACAAAACATTTTTTAATACATAAAGATTCCTAATTTTCATCTTCCTTTTTTTCTCAAGTAAAATCATCAAATTGTTTTATTTTTAATGTTGGAGATTGGTGTTATTCAATAGGAAACTGTAAGCCTAAGTTTCGTGCTATTTGGCACTCGTCAGCATGGTGAACATGTAATCTTGAGAGAACTGATGCTCCTTGACGGATTCGATCACGTGTCAGTCAATTTTACAGTCAGAGACGTTACCACTGAGCTATCCGAACCGTGACTAACCTCCTGTAAGACAGAGGTGTATAAACAATTGATTTATGACTGGGTGGTGAATAATATAATGTATGTCAGGTCCTTCTGTCAAAAATGCATTTCATTTATGAATCTGTGTCATTAAGATTAGAGTCATTGTTTTCTTTTTATGTTACAAAGTCTAGAATAGCAGACATGTCGTTGGCAAACATTTAGTTCTCATCATAAGTTATTACATCAATCAGAGTAAAACTAAATGTTAGCAGTTAACTGAAATCAAACGGTTATTTTAATCTAAACGGGGTTTTGTGGATAATATAGTGATTTCATAGTTGAATTCATGAGTCAATTGAAGCTAGACAACCATAGAAAACCTGAAGGTAACAGACTACTGTTTCATCCTACTATGGGACTTCTCAGCAGTGCGAATCCACAATTGGTTGAAGTTAGACACTAACACCACTGGATGCCGGACCAGTGGTCTAGAGGTTAAGCGTTCGTGCGCGAGACCAATAGGTCTTGAGTTCAAATCCCGCGTGCGGGATCGTTTATGAAGACAATTGACAATTAATTTCATACAACAACATATCAAACTGTAATTTGTTGACAAACAAAATGTAAACTAATCACTGAATAAGACTGTATCCTTCAAGTGGTTCAGATATAGTTGTTTCTCGGAATTTACCAATAAAACAAGGTATGGACATTTATAGAAATCAAATTTTTAGTTTTTAGATGAAAGATCAAATACAAATTGCAATGAAATGTTCGTTTAAAGACAACTATGCACATCATCTCATCAATTTTTGGTTTTGATTGGTAATATGTGTTGTGTTCTATGAAGGAATTGAAATTAATCTAATGGGGCATTATGGAATGGCTGATTTCTTGTTCACGTTTTGAAGTGTGTAAACACAAGCCTGTTGAAGTTGCAGGATATAGGTATATCCGAATGATGAGCGCCAAATACAACGAAATGCACGTGTTGCATTCCACTGCTAGCCACCATCCATCTCTGCTTATAATAATGGTGACTTAAAGAAATATCGAGGCAATCTGAACTGAACGTGCATATGCCAATAACAGACTAATCAGTTCAAGTCCTCAATGTCTATGGGAAGATTCAACACAACCAATATATGATACTTTGCCTATACAAATTAATTAAGATTATATTAAAGAACAAAACATAACGTAATCATTTGTATTTAACTTGATTTAATTAATCATCATCTTCATCATCATCCATCTGACTATAAACCGATTCTACTAAACATTGATATGTATGTATATAACAAAAGTTTAGGAATTTGTCTTGTTGTCATTATTATTATTTCGACACATAAATATCGGTACAAGAGGACACCAAATATATATGCGCCACACCATATTTGTGTGTGTGGGCTGTGATACTGCCCGGGTGCTCAGACCGAAACAGGTGATTTTCTTAGGGGGCCACAACCCGAGCCTTTGACCTAAAGGTCTGATCCACAAGGCAGTTGAACATCGTGAGGAGATGCATACCCATGGTAGCCGGTGACCAGCGATTGGTTCATACGCCATTTGCTCCCGCAAAATACTGGAGCCCATGTGCACCATTGGTTTGGGATCCGGTTAAAGTGCCGAACATTCGCTTTTCGTCCTCTCATTTTCGTAAACAACACCCCCGCCACGAGAAGGCAATGAGTTGTTAATTCTATAGGAAGATTCAATTGAATTCAACTAGTCAGTTATTAGGTAAAAATTATACTTTTAACTGTAGTCTAGACCACTGATAGAATTTAGTTTCTTTTTTTTCTTTTTCAGTTAGAATATTGTATAGTTAAAATCAATAAGACAATAACAGTTGACATGAATATTTCCGGTTACATAATATATATGCAGAAAATGGTTGTAAGAAGTTTTTGAAGAGGAAGGTATTGGAAATCAGTAGACAAAATTAGTAATAAAACTTGAAATATATAACAATGTATATATGTGTGTGCATAATGATAGGAGACTATTTTCACCTACCACAGAGTTAAGTTCATCATCTGTATCTTCCACATTTATATCTGTTTCCATAAATACAAGACTTGCTTTCAAGTTGTTAATTTCAACTCTTACCGGATTTAATTGTTCATCACCATGAACTATATTAAAGAGAAAAAAAAGAATATAGGCAAGTTAATTAAGAAGATAATTTGATGTAGAATAACTTTAAAAAAGAAATGAAAACTGTTGTATCCTAGTGAAGATTCAATTACGGGTATCTTCGGAGACCTATTCATGGACTAATATTCTATAAATATTCTTATTGTATAACTATTCAGTAACTGGATTGTGTATATCTATATTCCTTTTATTATTAGCTTCATTTTCACCTATAGATTATCATTGTACGACTTACTGTTCTTAAGTTATACTCAGCTTATTAATTACTGTCTCCCACGTTCACAACCACTTTCGGCCATATTTTGTACGAGTGTTATTTTCTATTTTATGGCGCGTTGTGGTCTGTTTGTTTGGGATATAAATTCAAAATGTCTGAAATAAATGTTTTGCATAGTGGGGGCTGTTACTGGAATTCTGGACTCAGCCAAACGGGTTAGGCGAGCAACGGACCAATAGGACGCTAGGCTGATCAGACCGAACGAAAGTCATTGGTTTAGTACAGTATAAGAGCGAATAAGTCGTATTTTGATTGGCGAGTAGATTACGTAATAACTAGCGGGTCATAAAGTCACAACCAAAACCGCTAAACAGTTAGGAATGCACTTTAATATCGAATGGTACATGTAAGTTGAGACTGGTTTATCTATATTGTAAACGTGATACATCTTGTGAACGCAAATGATTTTATAAAGAATTGATGAAAATCACATAATTTTCTAGTGAATATCACGAACTAATTAACCTTTGAAAATGTGGAAGTGTTGGATAGCTATTTTGTCTTACATATGAGATTCTTCAATGGTGAGCGTCTACATCCTCATTTAATGTTGAATTCAGAATTTTCAGATCTTGAAGAAAGTGTTTAATATTTGAACCAATGATCTATTCTATAATAGCTTGATTGTTTAACTCCAATTCATTCATGATATTTTATGATCGTCTCACAGTGGTATTGATGAGTAACTACCATACACTCGACATTGTTATACTATACTAGGATTCTGAGAATCAGCTCACGTAATCAGTAGTCACTGATCGCATCAACATTATTTTGGAGACTGTTGGACTTTATAGTCAACATCACGGTTTGATGATAATGAAACGACTATTATAACACCGAAACCAGTGTTTCTACACTACTGAATAGTCCCATACTATAATAATACAACTATACAATCCCTTCTAGTTTTTAATGATTATTTAACTAAGACCAAACTGTAATGTTAACTATAAAACTATTACTATTACTATTGATACTTATTAAAAGTATTATGTAACAGAAGTTTATAAAAATTAGAAATATTTATAACTTCCCTAGTTTGATTATCTTCCATAATGTTACCAGTTAAATACAAGAGAATCTGAGTTTCAAATTGTCTAACTCATGTACCTGCATATCAGAGTTAACGTTCACTCTAGGACTCGAACTCAGTACCATCCACTTAGCTACTGTGTTCTGATAGCTACTTGTTTGTGCAATGAGATTTTAGTTTCAAATTGTCTAACTAGTGCTTATCAACAATGTTTTATAGAAATTGTCAGAATTTGGCATCGTACGATTGATTAAGTAAAATGTATTAAAAAAATGGTAACTTCAAAACTAAAGTTTAATGATCAATAATTAAAGAACAAAAACTATGACCGCTATTAATGATCATAAACAAAAAACATTTCTAAACAAATGATGCTCTTGCTTGATAAAAGATACACAAGATGATCAACATTTGTATAGTAAAACACTTTACAGATTTCAAAACCTTTATAGCGTTTTCTTTAGTTATCAGTATAGGGTTCTGGAGCTGTGACCAGTGAAGCTAATTCGTGTCGGGTAGAGACAGGTAACTACCTCAGAGCAATGAAGGATGGTCACGCAATTTCATGGATTTGTTTAGGTTAAACATTAATACCGTTAGATGTTGACCGGCTCCATGGTCGAAAGCTTAAGCGTTCGTGGACGGGACTGAAGGTCCTGGGTTCGAATCCTGCGGGTGAGATCGTGGATGTGCACTACTGAGAAGTCCCACAATAGGACGAAATAGCCGTCCAGTGCTTCTAGGTTTTCAATAGTGGTCTAACATCAATCGATTCAAGATCTAAATCATTTTCTTTCATTATTGATATTAATCAGTCAGTTATGAACAACAAAGAATCTTGAATGGTTGTTCAGCAGTTAAAAAAGCCTTTTTTCTTATTACACAACTATAGTTAAACTGAATATTACTAAGGTGAAAATCGAATAGACTCGAAACAATGAACAGCAATAGTTTAGAAAAAGTTAAACACTTTAATGTAATCAATGTTTTCAGGGTAAAGTAATTCGATGATAATTTAAAAAATAGTAAAGATTTACAAAAGAAATAAGTAATGAATTTGGGATATTATGGTAAATGCTACTTATGTCGACAGATGTAAGTATTAGGTAAAACCAATCAGAAGTGGTCAACTTGAAGAAAATAGAAAGAGAAATAGAAGGGACTTATGAATTGAAAGAATCAGACAACGTGTGAATGACAATTCATGGACCAATTGAAAATGAAGTGTTCATTATATGATTCTCAGATTTTACTAATAGATTTTATAATTTTGTATTCAAATACATCCGATTAGTGAGATGGTGGAGAACGAAGAACCAATCTACATCGAGGTCTACAGGAGAAGCTATGAACCACATGTAGAGAAGTTCGAACACTTCACTTCTACTTGAAGTTTGTGCTGATGATGTCGTTCAGAAGAACGATGAAAGCTCCACGACTAAACCATCCAGTTCAGAGAATAAAACTCCATCAAAAACATTCCATTATTCCCCATTTGTGTTCTCGTTCACTAAATTATACTTCTCAACATCTAGAAATCAAAGGTTTGATTAACCAATGCACAAATTATGTATCAACTTATCTAATATTGTAGTCAACTTTCATATTGTTCATTACGTCTATATGACTTAAAGTTGCTTAGAAAAATTCATTTACATCACATGGGTTTTCGTGGAGATTGTAGTAATTTCAATGGTTAAGGTCATGAGTCAGTTAAAGCTAGACCACCATGGAAAACCTGGAAGCACTGGACGGTCGTTTTGTCCTATTGCGAGGCTCCTCAGCAGCGCACATCTACGATCCCATCTCACCTATCGGTCTTACGCGCGAATGTTTAACATCTAGACCACTGAGCCTATCGGCATTCAACCGTGTTAATGTCTAACTTCAACTAATCCACACAATTGACTGACACATCCAACATTGTCTTCAGTGAGTTACTTTATCACTTGTATAAACATTTATGCTTCAGTATTGCTTATCATTAACACCGTTGTATTCCGGCTCAGTGGTCTAGTGGTTAAGTGCTCGCGTGCGAAACCAATAGGTCCTGGGTTCCAATCTCGCAGGGGGCGAGGTCGTGGATGCGCACCGCTGAGGAGTCCCATACTAGGACGAAACGGCCGTTCAGCGCTTCTAGGTTTTCCATGGTGGTCTAGCTTCAACTGACTCATGTTCTTAACCATTTAAAATTCATTTACATTGATGGCTTTTTTCCTTTCTCTCTTTTTCTTTCTCTCTGTTAAATTCAGGTTGTTTAATTATCTTTACATTTTTTTGTTTGTTATTCCTCATGTTAATTGTAAACTGCCTCATAGGATTTAATTCCTGTATTTCTCATTCGAACCAATATAACACATATATACACACACACAGACGCATGGATATACACATATACACACACACGCACACAAATATATCAACAAAATGAGGATCTAAAACTGTTTTCTCTCCATCCCCAATTTTTTGTTATCAACCAAGGAAACCACATATGGCAGAGAAATGTGATAATTTCCATAAAAAAAACTGTATTGTTTGTTTTAAATTATATTGTGATTAATGATGATATCAAAATGAGATCAACTTCGTTTTAATGACATGGAAAAACTAAAAAAAAAATTTAAAAAAAAAGGAAAACAGAAAAATATTTCGAAAGACGCAAAAAAACACATTTTTGTATTTGCATTATGTTTTCTGACCAATTATGTCAGATATTTTGTTGTTTACTCAATAAAGATAAGGTAGAATGATGATGATGATGGTGATGGTGAGAAAATTGTTCAGTGTATAAGTTAACTATGATTTTAATTCAAAAAAAATTCACCTTAATTATGGACAGTTAAATTGTGTATCAGTTCACATTTTGTGTGTGTGTGTGAGAGAGAGAGATTGTCTGGCAGAAAAGGGAACAGATTATCATTTATTTTCAGAAGGGATTTGTAGAGATTTTAGAAATTTCACAGATTGAAATCATGAGTGGATGCGCACTGCTGAGGAGTCCCATATTAGGACGAAACGGCCATCCAGTGCTTCTAGGTTATCCATGGTGGTCTAGCTTCAATCGACTCATGATTTCAATCTGTGAAATATCATTTATTTATTTATTGTAGTTTTACAGTTCTTGATTCATGATTTTATTTTTATTAAAAGTCTTGTTTTTTTTGTTGTTGGCCACATTTTATTTCTTCATTTCATTGTCTACTGATTATCTCCTTTTTATTTTTGTATCAAGAAGAGAGTATAACAGCTCATGTATATTTGATTTTGTTCATATATAATTTGGTTGATCCCTTTTATTAACTTATTTAACAGACATAGTCATTTGTATAACAACAACTTATCTATACCACTGTACTTTTTTATTATTTTCAGTAGTTGAGATCATGATTTAATTAGAGCAAGATCAACATGGAGAGCCTAGAAGCACTGGACGGCTGTTCTTCAGCAGTGAGCATCCATGAACCCACCTCGCGCGATTCAAACCCAGAACCTATCGGTCTTACGCTCGAATGTTTAACATCTAGACCACTGAGCCTATCGGCATTCAACGATCTTAATGTCTAACTTCAACTAATCTACAAAATTGACCGACACATTCAACATTGTCTTCAGTGAGTTACTTTATCACTTGTATAAACATTTATGCTACAGTATTGCTTATCGCC